GGCTGAGGGGCAACCCCCATGCACAAATTTCATGCACCAGGCCACTAGTCCTATATAATAAAACTCTAATAGACAAATCGACTGAACGACAGAATGACCAGTGGAATGACTGGTCACTATGATGTGCACTGACCACCAGGGGGCAGATGCTCAATGCAGGAGCTGCCCCCTGGTGGTCAGTGTGCTCCCACAGGGGGAGCACCACAGCCAGAAGCTAGGCTCATGGCTGGCGAGTGCAGCGGTGGTGGTAAGGAGCAGTGTGCAGGTGGGTGGTAAGGAGCGAGGGGTCCCAGACTGAGATAGGGATGTCGGTCTGTGAGAGGGATGTCTGGGACCCCTCAGGGGATCAGGCCTAAGCTGGCAGGCAGACATCCCTCGAGAGGTCTGGACTGCGAGAGAGCACAGGCCGGGCTGAGGGAGCCCCACTCCAGTGCACGAATTTCATGCACCAGGCCTCTAGTTTATAATAAAATCATAAAACCATGTACAGTCTAATCCCTCATCTCGAAAAGATACACTGTTTTTACAGCTCTTGTTCAGAAAGGAGTTCACATAGCAGGCCTGAGGCTGCTATCTTTAGAAGGGCCTGCTAGCCAGGCTGCCCCTGACTGTACCTAGGAACTTGGATTTTGGGAGGGTTTCCAACATTCCCTGATATGAATGGCTCATTGTGCCTAACAAAGAATGTGGTTTATGCCGAATAAGTCTTTCCATCTGGAGGGTCTGTAATTTTGGTAAGTTCTAGGCAGAAGTGCCTATGGGAAGAGCCTCCAGTAAAAATGCTGGGCACTCAGTCTCAAATGGGCTTTCCTGGTAGATCCAAGATTTGAATATGTTTTTATTCCTTGAGCCAAATAGATCTGTCACTTTTGTATTCCTCTCAGATTAAAAACTGCACAAGTTAACATCTTGTTATCACATTCTCTATATAACTTACTCTCTTAATTTTATTTTTCAACTGGTAGCCCGGTGCATGAAACTTCATCACATTAAAGGGGAATTAATTGCCCTAACCAGTAAAACTATTAAGAAATTCGATGGGAAAATTTTCCTTTACAGCATCATCTGTGGAATCAATGGAATCATCACTCAAATATGTGTCAAAATCTCCATCGAG